TGAGGCATGAATGAATTACTTAACCCATAAATTGCCTACAAATCTCTTCTCTCCTTAGATTGTAAGGGGCTACAAATTAGGCGTTAAGATAAAGACAAAATTTTCCCCTCTGTTCTGACTATTTATCGTAAGGTTTACATCATAATTGAGTGACTTCCTTTCTGTCTGTAAAGACCATGTTGTCTATGTTGTGTTTGAATTATCTTTGGTGCAAAATGTTTAAACCAGTTTAGTTTTAATTTTCCTTTGTATTCTTAAGCATACTTTGGAATAAAGGAGATTAAAAATCAAACTGGTTGGAAAAATTTCAACCCACAACAAATTAAAGCTACAAAACAGTAAGAATTTATTCATCTAAGGTATTAATTCCCAGTCAACAAGTAAATTCACGACAATTAAGAATATTTTAATGTAGAAGCATGGTATTACCAATTCCGTTGAAAAAAAACAGAGATGTCATAACAAAATAGCTTTTGCAGGAACTGTAGATGACAGGGTCAATCAGATGTAGCTGTTCACAAGACTTCACAATCACTGTTGTTATTTGCCAGACAATTTCAATTCAAAAGCTTTGCTTAAGAAATATTAATAAAATGTTCAAAGTAATAAGAAAGCAGTTCCTGCCCTAGTTCGGCCCAGAAACCAGGGTCGTATGTAGTCATGCACTCGCTTCACCGCGTCTCCTCAACATATAGGCCAAAATTTAATCTCTGAGATTTTTAACTCCTCAGGTTTTCTTCCAAGAAGAGAAGCGCCAGTTATATCGTTTTCCGTAAGGAATGTCGGATTTTGAAATATTCGAAGTACTCGCCATAACAAACGAAGAGGGACGCGACGCGATAGTTTGGCCTTTTTGACCTCGTTTTCATGCAACTCGATCCAGGACTCTCGCGATGTCCGCCATTATGAAAGTCGTGTATTTGACAGGTGACCAACATCGCCTTTCCTTCCGTCCAAAGCTAATGTTCACTTGATTGACGGTTGGCAAAACGAGCAGCATGAAAACCAAGACCCAGGGGGAAAGGTGAGGGGTTGTTAGGATGTGCCCTATCTCATTAACGAGTGTTTCTCCGGAATATGACGCAGTTTTGATTAATCGCGTCAAGGCTTAGATGCCGCATTTACTTTGGAAAGTAACTAGACCAATAAATTTTTTTGAGCATACGCTCTATCTGAAGTGCGTTTAAAATTGTACT